TTGGGCCACTCCTCTCAGACTGTTTTGTAATTAGAAGGGCTTCATAATGTATCTTCAAACAAAAGAAACTAGAGCTTTCTGATTGTATCAGTTTGATAACCGTAAGCAGTTCACAGTAAGGTAAGAAGGTACATTTTAGCGGAAGCTAGCATTGCATTTGATGTATTCTTAACTCAGCTCACAGGCAGGCTTTCAAGCCATGTTATCTGCCCCCACATCTTGACCTAATTTAACAAGTTGCCATGGGAGCCCAGAGAAGGTTGATGCAATTTTCTTATCTTTGAAGGAAGAATGTAACTGTGCAAGAGAATGTGAAAATTCAGTTTCTAACTGATTTCCACACTTACAGTGTGGTAACTAAAACATCATATGGAGAAGTAAAATATATTCCTTTGACGGTGATAGGAACAAAGACCTAGGCTCCTAGTGTAATGTCCAAAAGACACATTCTTCAAAAGATGGATTCTCCTCCTAGTTCAAAGAATCCAAGCACACAACCTTTTATTCATGCCAAGTAACAGTGATATAAAAGTGTAAGTTTAGGCCACATATGCCCTAAACTAACTTACTGCCATTGAGTCGGATCCGACTCATAGCGATCCCTCCTTAGGTTTCCGAGGCAGTATCACTACGGAAGTTGATTGCCCAACCTGCCTTCTGAGGTGTGGCTGGTGGGTTTGAACCGCCAGCCTTCTGGTTAGTAGTCAAATGCCTTAGGCACTATGCCACCAGAGCTCCTATACATGCCCTTGTTGTTGTTGTTGCTGTTTGCCGTCCAGTCGGCCCCAACTCATATGCCCTAGAGCAATCTAATTTTAAGGGAACATACAGAAAAGGAGAGTAGAACTTGAAGAAAATAGGTGTGACTTTTATGAGCAATAAAAAAGTACTGCTAACACTTTTACATAGATTTCCACTTTCTAAAGAACTTTCCTAAACTTTGACTCATCTTAACATGTCTGCATAAAGCAGAGACCCATTTATAGGCTCTGTAGTCACTGCCTGCTTCTCAAGTGGTGGAGGAACTTAATAGGTGTTCCATCCCCTTCCCCATACCCTAGAACTGTTTCTGAAATGAGAAAGGCCCATATCAGGGTGCAAGAGTCACGACAACCCCACATCACATTGGTTCAGCTACTGACACTGCTGGCATGAGATGTCCACCAGGCATTGTGCAGAGAACAGAAGTCACCAACATTTGGGCTGCCCTGAACATGCCTAACACCTGACCTACATTTGGCCTAACAACAAAAAGACAATCCAGTTCAAGTCTAAGGACATTTATGATATCTGGAATTCAATAAGACAGTGAACTCTCAAGGGCTAATAGATATAAACTGTACTCAGTATGTGCTCAGAAACATTTGCTCAATTAATTGATGTGTTACTATTGAGGTTTTTCTCCTATGTCTCATACAATGTCTAGCACTCATTTGTTTAATTAATAGATTTAGTTTCATTACATTTTCACAGATCTCCTCCCATCAGAATAAGGATGAACACTTTTACTTCACTAAAAGTAGAAAAAGTACAAAGTAAATTTGCCTAAAATCATACAGTGTGTTAGATCTGGGAGGGAGCAAAGAGGACTTCTGTTTTCTGGACTACTATTCTCATCACCATTTGAGTAGTACGAAAAGTTAAATCTTCAGTTATGAAGAAGAAACAAGGTGAGATGCTTTGGAAAAAAATGTTTTTTAATTCAAATGTCAATATCAGTGTTGGAGATCTTTTGATAGTTACCTTCCCTTTTCTTGAACTCATTGAATGTTTCATTCCCTTTTCCCATGTTTGGAGTACAAAAATGTCCCTGGGTGATGCAAACAGTTTATGCTAGGCTCCTGAAAAAGTTGGGAGTTCGAATCCACCCAGTGGCACCACAGTACAAAGGCTGTACATTTACTTCTATAAGATTACAGCCACTGAAAACCCTATGGAATTTGTTCTCTTCTACAGATATAGGGAGCTCTGGTAACACAGTGCCTAGGGCACTTGACTAATAACCAGAAGGCTGGTGGTTCAAACCCACCAGCCAGTCCTCGGAAAGAAGATGGGGCAATCTATTTCCATAGTGATACTGCCTCAGAAACCCAAGGAGGGGTCACTATGAGTCCAGTCCGACTCAATGGCACATAACAACAACAACACAGATATAGTGTTGTCATGAGTTAGAATTGACTCAACAGCAACAGGTCTTTTGAGAGAAAGAAAGGAACAAAGAAAGAAGGAAGGAAGGAAGAACACCTATTAAAGAATCTATACAAAAAAGTGTGACATCACATATAACTCATACTCCAGGCATTCCTGGGTGTGTGCTAAAAGGAGCATTTGATACCCTTATCTGTTTGGCTCTGCGTTTGGATTGCAGAGAAGCCTCTTAGGCAGGATTTTAGTGTTGGTTATCCTGGTAACAGTTCATGTCTCTAATTTGTACGGCACACTCATTCTTAGTTGTTAGAATTTCCAACTCATCCCTTTCTTCCACTTCTTAGTATGAGCTCCAACAAACTGGTACACTCTGGGAAAGATTCCCTAAGCTTCAGATAATCCTTGCCATGGTACTAACATCATTTTTGCCAATACCTTTTCAGTCACACTAACTGACTATTAGCTCTTCAGGCTACATTACTTGTCTCACTTGTTGTTGTTGTTGTTGTTATGTGCCGTTGAGTCGGCCCTGACTCATAGCGACCCCTCCTTGGGTTTCCGAGGCAGTATCACTACGGAAGTAGGGTTGCCCAACCTTCCTTCCGAGGAATGGCTGGTGGGTTTGAACTGCCAGCCGTCTGGTTAGCAGGCAAGTGTCTTAGCCACTATGCTACCAGAGAAAACTAAATAACTAACGCAGTTAACACTTCCAGAGGAGTGTCCATTTGAGGTAGAGGCCAAACTTCAGCCACTTCTAGAAAGATCTTTCTCAGTGCTGTTGTGGATCCTTACCAGAATCTCACCCATGAAAGTTGACCCTAAATCATAAACCTCATAGCTTTCTTGAAATAAAATCCAAACTACAGAACTTAGTCAGTTCATTTAACCTCATTGTCCACTAAACTGACCTAACTCAAAATCCCATCCTATATGCTAAGAGAGAATCATGAAAGCTGTCACTCGAGAATTATCTTTGTAAATACTGATAGCAGTGATGGTGCTGATTGTTTTAGGGAGAAGAAAGGACTACATTTAACAAAGAAAAACTAAGTTGAAGATTTATGAATGTGCTGCCTCTAACATACCTAACAAACCTGACTGACATTTGGCCTAACAACAAAAAGACAATGCATTTCAAGTCTAAGGACTTGAACTTTGAAGTGAAGTTGGAAGAGTTATGAAGGGTTGACTTTTACTCCTGATCAACTGACAGAGCACTGTTTACCCTGCACCACAAAAACAAGAGCTTTATCATTCAGAGATACCTTACCACTTCCCAAGTCCACAGAGTCACTCTAAAGCTAGTTTGGCCTTTCCTTTCTTTTTCTAATTAAGCAGAACTTGCCCCCTCCTCCATCAGTATACCCAAATAAGATACAGTTCTTAAAACATCTAGAGAGCCAGTACTCTGTATATCCTGAGAGACTTAATATGTTTTTCCCTCATTCTAGATGTCTTTCATGGAAATGGGTAAATTTTCTAGTAATCTGCTGTCCACAGATGGGAAAGGACTTCCTTGAAAAGTAGCAAGTATCCACATACCAATGACACTCAAGCAAAGATCATGGGCCATATTGTCAACAGACCACAGCAGGGGACCTTAAGTTCTTTTCCTGGCCTAGAACTCTATGGTTCTACAAAATGAGGATCTTGGTTCATATACAGAGCTTGTCACTACTCTGAAACATAAGCATAACTCTTGAGTACTTATTTAAGGCAATGAACTGCACTAGAGGCTATATGGAATACAACAGAAGAGAAACATTTCTTATCTTTGAAGGAAGAGTAATTTGTCTAAGTATTTGAGTTGTTCTCAAATGTCAGTTGGTTATCCTAGCGAAAAATGAAGCTGCCTTACATGCAATAAGGGTCTAGTACACTCTTAAGATTAGACTGCTCAGTAAAAACACAGATTCAGAGTCCCCACATAGTAACCTGTACAGGGCAGGGTAATATAAGAGAATAGAGGCCAAGACTACATCTGAGCAAATCAAAGCTTAAAATAAGTTCTACTTATGACATACTTTGTAATTTTTAAAAGACACTAACTTTACAGATAGAATCTGGTAACACATTAATGCTTCAAGATATTTCTGATCTACTCTACAAGCGTTTCCACATTTAGGCAACATATATGCTATAATCCATTTGGAGAATGAATTGCTCTGCTCTATTTCCAGATTTCCAATCAAAACTCAAGCTCTTTACCTACATATTCCTTTCTCTAGGATCTTTCTTCATGCACCACTACTATAACCCTTGCTCCTTTAGTCTTTGAGATCTTTAATCTAAACAGGATATTAAAGCTCAGTAAGGAAAAAACATTTTCTATGTAGGGCAGGACGGATCTAGACAGAGTCTAGGGTGATTAAGGACACTTTTCTGACATCTGAACAGCTAGTCTAATGAGTAGTATACTACAGAATGAGCTATCTAGAGTCTAAGACATTCTTATGCCTTTGAGAGTGGTTATTGTGTTTTATGTTTAGAAAGATCACCAAAGAGCAGGCCAGGAAAAGTCACCTGATGCTAGGCCACTGGGTGTAGTTTCCCATTATAGTACCCTCTGCCCAGATATGAAAAAAAGTAAAAAAATTTAAATTTTTCCTACCACTCTTGAAAATGACCCTTGGGGTAGAATGAGACTATTCGCATCCCAAAATCAATGGTTATTCACAAGCAGAATGGCTAAAGAAATAGTCTTGACTTCTTTGACTCTCCTCTCCACTCCCCCTAAAAAGAAAGAGTCTGATGCTTAGTCCCTGGGTTTATCCACATAATGTCCTCCACTGCCCCATCTGCAGAAGCATGTACACCCACCATGGCTGCTTAGGTAGCGGTAGGATGCCTACCTGTGTAGCCAGCCAAAGCAGCAGCAGGAATGACAGGCTTGTCCTTGTTGAGGTCAGCACGATCACGTACATAGTCCTTGAAGGTGCCCTTGGGCTTGTGGTTGGGTAGGGCAGCCGGATAGTCCTCTGAGTCGAAGCTGTCATAGGAGGGAACACGCTGCAGACTGTTGAAAGATGACTGGCTGCTCCAGGACTGGGTGAGGCGGTCACAACTATCGTAGCTCTCTATGCTTTCAAAAGAGTCCTGGCCCCCGAGTTTACCTGGAGGTAAAGGAGGAGGTAGGAAGAGGGCAGGGGAGGAGGGATTGGGAAAAACAACAAGTGTAAAAACCCTCTTATCTGAGGACAGGTTGCTAATCAGATCCACAGGAGGGATGGAAGAAGGGCAGGGGACGATGGGAATAGAAGCTGCAGGCTGTGGATTTGCTCTGGGGAAAATGGCTACCCTGGGCGACAGTCTGTGCGGACAATCTATACCACTGTGTGCCCTGTTTTATAGCTCTGAATTCAGCAATTTGGAATTGAATGGTGCTCATATCTGTCAGAGACAAACAGTAATGGTTGGGACCTCCAGAATTCTAAAGCCAGACATCTAAAAGCTGAGAAACACACATATTATTATGGGATTTCTAGCTAATGTTTTAGACCCAATGAATAGTTGAAGAAATCAGAGTAGTGTCAGACTGAATTCTCTATTCCAAAATAGCCAATGAAATGACTGCAAAAGGCCCAGTTTGACAAAAAGTTTTGGTCATAAGAAAAAAATTCCATTAGACTAAGAGCAGAGTGACTTTCCTTGACCTTGAAACTAAAGTGTTATTTTTTTAGCATTTTTCCCAATACTATTTTTAAATGAGATACATGCCCTGCCTCTATGCCTTCTCATATAAAGAAGTTAAGAGATGTGTTTTTCAGGAGACAAAGAAATACTATCACTCTTCTAAACAGAAATCCTTATTCTTTATCTTGTCTAAGTACAATGCTGTACTTGAAAATATACTTCTTTGGGGAAAGATGGGTAATAAAAAACAAGAGTAAATTAAAGGGTTAACATCCACAGTAATGTCAGAAACCCTCTACTCTGTGAGTTGCTTTAAGGCATTCTTAGCTGACCACAGGATCATGCAAGTTCATTAATTTCCCAGGTTATAAACAGCTGCTGTGATTGCACAATAGGTCCTGGAGAAATTTCCATTGGCAAAACTGCCCATTAAAAAGGAGGCTAACACAAAATTCTGGAGGAAAACAAATGCATCTAAGAGCTAAAAAGGTTCACAGGAATGTTTTCCATGTTCTACTTTCAGACACTGTTCAGGTAACCTAAGTTAAATCATGAGACTAGAGGGCCATCACAATCCACAAGTCAAGGGACCAAATAAAGTGACCAAGTTAATGTAGAAATACCAGTAAGCCAACTCTCAATTGTTCATGCACAGCTGATCTATAAATTTCAAATCCCAGAATAAAGTTGGCCTATCCAACCTCCAACTGGTGTGCTTCCGGTGTATTCTCAAAATTCAAACATGAACAGGGCCAAAGCAAAACGAAATAATACATTAACAAGGAAGTTGCCCCTCAGTAAGAAGATAATCACAAATAAAATGAATTCTCTTAAGTATGCAATTTTCTTTATAATCTACTTAGATTTTTGGGACCTCTTGTCCCCTCCATCATTGCTTATATCATTCCTTCTTCCAAACATACATTCGAAAAAACGTAATCTCAAGAAGCAAATGCAGGAGCTTCACAGAGATATTAGCCTTGCCTATCCAGTCCATTGTCACATATGCAACTCTTTCTTGTTATGAAAAATGAAGGAATTGTCCTTTCCAAAAATGCATATTCAGTGACTCAGGAGAACAGCCCACAACAAGAATGTCACAGCCTCTTTTTAACAGAACAGGAAATTTTGTGGTATCTCATAAAAAGGTGTTTGCTCATACCAGCTATTAATCTTAACAGTCACATAATTTCTCTACAAAGCACATACACCAAAAGCCTACGAGAGAGGATTTGTATTTTCATGAAGAACACCCCACCAGGTCACTGATATTTAGGCAGTTGTTATACTTGAATTTCTCTGAAGGGATTCTATTTCTAAAATCCATTTTTATGTCTGGAGGCATGGAGACTAGAATTTCCACAAGCAAGATTGTTGAGCTTCCAAGGAGTCCCAATAAGCAAGGACACTAAACTAGGCCACAACTCCTCTCTGGCAACCTCTCAAACATAAGCAAAATGCAATTCTGTTGAGAGTTGTGGTTTAGAGCAGTGGGTTTCTTTCATTTTAGCTCTATTTCACAATCCTGGAGCCGGGAACCTTCATTTATGGGTATTTTCTTCAAAAATGGGTTGAAGCCAATAGAATTACACACTTGGTTATGCTACTGCATTCATGCAGACATCCAATGGACAACTTTCCTGAGAAATGCCTTAGCAAGATCTTTCCAAAGACATCTGGCTCTACTGAGCAGACCAATAGCTGGGGTATCCCTACACTCACTCACTCACTTAACAGACCAGCACTAACACAATTCTTAGAGTTCAAATAAATGAGACACAGAAGCATGTAGAAATACCAGTAAGTCAACTCACAATTGTGTATGTATTACAATGCACTATATATTATGATTATTGGTAGTAATAATCTTATTATAATTAGTAATAACGTAATACTTTCAGTCTAGACCAATCATACATCTCAGATCAATCAGCTCCTGGAATATGTCCTGTTTGTAGCACTCCCAACATGCAAAAACCTGCCCTTCACAAAACGGTCTTTCCCTGTGTGGCCTGAAACTTGGAGTGAGAAAGGGGGAGTAGAGCCAGAAAGAACTACCTCAATATCTCTGTGTAAGGTTCACTGTTTGGTCTATAATCATTAGTTGGGGTTGACAGGATGGTGAGGAACAAAAATAAGAATGAAGAGAAAGAAGGGATAAGGAACAATGACACAAGTACAAAGCCAGGTGCAATTTAAGAACAATGTGAGAGTGATATACCCAAAGTTACAACAGGGCTGAGCCCAAATCCACAGCCCTGGTGCTGCAACAATTAAGTGCTCAGCTGCTAACTGAAAGGTTGGCAGTTCAAACTCACCAAGCAGCTTCAAGGGAAAAAGAACCAGCAATTGCACCTATAAAGATTACAGCCTAGATAATCCTATGGGGCAATTGTACTCTGTCACATGGATTTGCTATGAGTCAAAAATTGACTCAATGGCACACAAAAAATTATATATATATAATCCCTCACAAGAAAGAAAGTCTTTCTAATGCTCTGACCTTCCTGAGAAAAAGATACACAGGTACATGCACATGTGTGTACGTATTTAAATAGACATAACCCAAATACAAAAAAAGAGTCAGAATCAGAAAGGGGAAGGTAAAACTGGTCCCACCCATCCCCTTCTGTCTGAAACCCAAACACCCTGGGGCCCTGAGAGGGAAGATAACAAGTTCTGATTTTGCTAGGGACTTTCCCTAAGCAAGGGACTGCTGGGAGGAAGTGTGAGCCTGAACACTTGAAAAGGTGATAGAGTGTATGGTCCATAAGGCTTGAGGTGGGGGAGGGTTATTCTTCAAAGTAAAAACCCCTTTCGAGCTCTTCTCTGAAAGCCTCAGAAGAGGAATCAGGGTCAGCCTTTGAGTAGAAGTCACCAACATCCATGTCTGCCTACTATTCAGTTACTAACACAACTTCTGAGCGCCACTTTGATCAGTGTTCTTTCTTCTCTTCCTGTTTGTTATTCATTCCCATTTATCCACCTGAAAAGTCACCTTTTGCAATTTTCAGAAACTAGAGGGTACTTCCTAAATGAACAAATCCCTCCTTATGGTGAACTGCACTTTTCTCAGAAACAAAACAATGTGAATACTTTCCTAGAGGTACTGTATGCCACAGTGTTTACATCCTGATCTTAAAAATGGGGTGTATTTAGTTTACCTTTTCTGCTTTACATCAGCCAGCTCTATTTTGCAACATTTACTTCACCGTCAGTGAATAATCTGTCATTATCATAATGGTCGTATCAACAAGAGTATCATCTTTTGGAAACTCTGGTCACCTTTTTCCCTGCTCCGCTAGCTAAATACACACTTTCACCATATTGTAGATGTCTGGTTCCAAATAAATCAGTCTTAGTTAACCATTTTGTTATCTTCCCAAACCAAAGAAGTCACAGAGGCTAAAGCTCCCAGGCTAAGCAGCAGAGGTCCTGTCAGATACCGAAAGAAGACCCGTAGTCAGACTCTGCACATGCTCTGGAAGGAACACTAGAAGACACGTGAAGTTTAGTGATGCTCCTACAGGTCATAAGCACTATTTTCATTTAACTGCATCCTCCTCAAGCAAGATTCTCTTGAAGAAAATAAAACACACCTTAAAAAACCACTATATCCAGCTATAGTTACTATTTGGGTAAAATATTTAACTCCAATGAACCCATGGTTTTTGTCATTATGATAGATTTGGCTGTAATTCCGTGACGGAAAGTTCTCAATATATACATGAGGAGGCAGAAACTGAGCAATGTACAGGACCAGTAAGTGAGAAAATGTGGAATCTAGAAAACTCACAAAGTTAGATAATTCTTAGAAACTTGGATAGAGTTTTTAGAGATGAAATCTGACCTACCACGACTGGTCCTCCCCATGCACATGTTGTCTGGGGTTACAACTTCTTGTTTGATGGCAAAGTAATCAGTCTGCAGGGTGTCCATCTGGAGAGGGTCCCGGAGAATGACTGAGGGGTAGTCATTTTCATACTTGAGGGAGAGCAGTTCCTCAGAACTGATGGGATGGAGTGTCTGGTAGGATTCTGTGATAAAGCTAGGCTCAGAGAACTCCGATGGAGGAACGCACTGGGCATGTTCAATTCCATAGCCTGGAAACAAAGAGGGTTTGCAGCTGCAGAGAGGAGAGCTTTCTACCTAAAACCAGCAGTTCTTCACCCCCACAATGTGGAACAAGCTAGCTACCTTAGAGAATAAAAGGAAAGTATTTAAGTTAGAAGGACATGGGTTGCTAACTTCACTCTACTACTTAATAGCTATGGCCTTTTGACAAGTTAATTCTTTGTTCTGCTTTAATTTTCTCAATTATAAAGTGGGGATGACTGCAACCTTCCTCCTAGTGCCATGGTGAAGATAAATGTATATGCACCATTTCTGGCATATAATAAGCTCTTGATGTACAGTAAACCAAAAAAAACCAAACTCACTGTCATAGAGTCAATTCCGACTCATAGTGACCCCCTTTGGGTTTCTGAGGCAGTATAAATCTTTATGAAGTAGATTGCCCAGTCTTCCTTCTGTGGAGAGGCTGGTGTGTTTGAACTGCCATCCTTCTGGTTAGCAGTCAAACCTTAGGTACTGGGCCACCAGAGCTCCTTCTTGATGTACAGTAGGTAGTATTATTCTTGTTGTTGAATTTTAAAAAATCACAATAAAATAAAATAAGAAAATAAAAATGAATCGTTCCAAACTCCCTTTCTAAGCCATCAGATAAGAACTGTTCTACACTAATTCTCTTCCTCTGGTCACCTCTCCAACACGTTTTTCTTGTTATTATTGCTATTAGCTGGTGTTGAGTAGGTCTCCAAGTCATGGTGACCTTGTGCACAATGGAACCATAAGGTTTCCATTGGCAGAAATATATCACCAGGCCTCTCTTTCTCCAATATGCCTTAGACATCTCACACTAGAAAGGAGAAGGTTTATTTTCTGTAACAGAGTTTGAAGCCACCTGGCACATTCTAGAGGATGGATTTGAAAGGAATTACTCTCAAGAAAATCCCAAGGTAAAAAAAAAAAAAAGAAGAAGAAGAAAACCCTATAGGGCAGAGGGCAGTTCTACTCTGTCACATAGGGTCGCTGAGTTGGAATCGACTCAATGGCAACTAGTACTGTTATCACCACAAATAAAAAAGGAAAGAGCAAAGGCTAAGATCACAACCATAACTCAACCCTCTGATGGCCACCACCATGCACAAAATCAATTAAGGTAAAAAACCTTAGGGGTCAAGTGATGTTTTCTCTGCAGCAGATGTACTATATGACTTGTAAGTGGTAGATATCTGAGAGTTTTGTTGTTGGGTGCTTTGAGTAGATTCTAACTCATAGAGAACCCGTGTGACAGAGTAGAACTACCACATAGACTTTTCTTGGCAATAATCTTCACAGAGACAAATTGCCAGGTCTTTCTACCATGGAGCAGCTGTGTGAGTTCGAACCACCAACCTTTCAGTGAGCAGCTGAGTTTCAACAGAGCTCCTTCTCTGAGAGTTAGTGTAAAGGAATTTGCAGGTTAATAAAACAGGTAAGTAGCTAAAACTTTGTGACTCTGTACAAGTAACAAAATAAATAACAAAGAGGATTCTATATTTCAGCAGTTATTACTTTCTGTGGATTACCATAAAGGAGCCTGAGATCAGTTGGAAAAAAGTTTCCTTTGCAGGGTCCCATTATCATGAGTGAGATTAGGAAAGACGAATGGAAAAAGAACTTACTAATGAAATAATCTGAAGTATAACGGGACTCTGGATATGTGGGGTTCACTCCATTAACTTGATATGGCTTCACATCCTCTGCAACAGATAAGACAAGGAATGAAACAAAAAGGTCAACACGCAAGTAATTCTACTTACCTACAAACAGCAAGGAGTGCACTGATCTCACCCTATCTTTCAAGAAAGAAAGCCACATACTCTTGAACTGAGTTTGGTGCCTGACTCTATCCAGACTGGGGCCTTGTCTAAGTATGAGATCATAAAAGTATGGCTAAGCATAAGGTTTCAGGAGCTACAAAATGGGATTTAGTATCTTGGAAAGAGGATCACTGAGTAATCTCTAAAGGTTGGGAAGGCATTCAACCCCTCCTTGTAGATGAATCTGTGTTGTAGGTGTGTGGACCTCACCAGAATGAAAGGCTGGAAGACATCTCAGGTATTACAAAGATCAGTCTCAACCTTACAATTCATCAATTCCAAATTTTTTTCAGAAACATAATCTTTAGACAGGTGGATTTCCTATCCTCTTTTTCCTCTAACAAGGTTTTTTTTTTTCCAGTTGCATCAGATTTCAAGTTCAGGTCCAGGCAAGAAGCAAGATACCAAGCAAGTAACTCTATTTGATTATTTGATGTAATATGACTGGGTCCACGTGCAGGGAGAAAAGAGCAACATAACCAAACTGCTGCCCAGATACCAGCTTCCCTGGGAATGAGAAAGGTATGTCTATGAAGGGTAACTAAGAACAGAAAGGCTCTCCACTGAGCTATGAGGACCTTTGGGATTCTCTGATTAGTTTAGAATCAAATGGTATGGCCTCTGGTTCATGTATAGAGTAGTCTGATTGTATTTCACTACAAGAGTCAGACATAAAAAGAGTGAGTTAGTTTGGGTTTTCTCCCCCAAGTATTTAGTAGCTTGTTGGGAGCAAGACTGCAGAGAAAACAAGTTTATGCCTGCATAGAAAAACAGTTTCCAGTTGAGATAAAATGATTAAACTTTGCTTTAGCAGCTTATCAGATTGAAACATCCCCTGTACCTTTGGCCTTCCACCCCACCCCAAGCAGCTATGTTCTTTTGGTGCTGAGTTGTTCTCATTTAATTTCAGAACAAAAGCCATAGCCTCAGTACAAACACCTTGCTCAGCCTTTCAGAAATCTGGAGAGGGATGATTCTTACTGCCTTTCTCAATAAAGATTGGGTGGGGTGGTATGATTATTGCTCTTAAACATACCGAGTTCACTTCTCCTAAATTATTCATTTGCAGTCGGGTAGGCCAAACTGGTCCAGAGGCTCCCCAGGAGTCCATATCATTTTACAAAGAACACAGTACAGGAAGTTAAGTAAAAAAGAAGGCCCAAGTTTAAGGAAATGAGTGATCTTGAGGAAATCACCTAACCTGAGCTTCATTTTACAAATGAGGACAATAATAGAACTTGCCCTTCCTATCTCACAGGTTGTTAAGAATCAAAAGGGAAAATATATTTTCAAGCATTTGGGAAATAAGGACAGGCTACGTAGGTATTACTGATAACTATGATCAGAGATAGGCTTCAACACTCTGGAACACCTGGCAGCTCCATTTTGATAAAGAAGGGAATACATTATACTAGCAGAATATATTTGGGTTACACTGCCTGCCAGAATCTGCTGTTGTGTTTATAAGTCAACCGTTAAATCAGATAGCTTAGGAGCCTGCCATGTCTCTTCCCTCTATAAACAGGTCACTGGTGTCAACACGTGTGGGTGTAGGTGCAGTTCCATGGAGAATAAGCCAGAGCTTCAGGGAGTTCTTGCATCTACCTGCCTGCCAGTCCTCTGCAACCATAGTCACAAACAGATTTACCTATTCCTTCATTGTGCTTATTTGTTTATTTTTCAACAGAAACAGAAGAGAAGGAATAAAGATAATACTCCTATACCCAGAGGAATCTAATTTGGGTCCCCCTTGAGCACTGCAGAGTGGAAAATATTCTTAAACAAAGGAAAGTATTATATGGAATAAAAGTGCTAATCCTGAGTTTTGCTCCCCTCCCCCAGTGTCTGCGCCAAGGGTTGGAACTGGTGACCACAGGGAAGGGGTGGGCCTGGGTTAAAGAGGGCAGCAGGCTTCTAGGCTTACAGTCAGCTGGAGGGCACTGCTGACTGCTGGTAACTGCAATTTATTTTAAGAAATTCAGAAAAATAAGTGCAAAAACACCCAAGTTTGCCGCCTGCTGCTGTTTCTGTCTTCAGCCAAGGACTGTGGTACATGAGTCACTTGGTCCAAAAAGGTTGGAAGACGCTGGCAGGGGAGGCCATGACATTGCAAGGTTGCAACATGGTGTCCTGACTTAACCCCACCATTTCTTCTTCAGATGTAAAAGGTGCACTTCACTCCTACACTTCTAAACCAGTCAGTGGAAAAAGAAGCTGTCTTACTAATAAGATCTGAAAGGCTGAGCCTTCCTGTGGAGTGACCGGGCACAACCACTGCCATAGATCAAGGGTGTATATATTAAGATTGTCAGAAAAACAAGCTATCTTAGGGTTGGCTGTGGGTACTGTTTGTTCAAACAGTGCATGGTCTGGAATAAGAATTGGAACCAGAATTTTGCATACCAAGAAAGTTCATGAGTCCAAACTTGCTAAAGATTTAAAATCATACGTGACTAATAAGCCAAAGAAGACCAAAAGAACAAAGAAGAAACTAACATTTCTTGAGCATCTGCTATATGGCAGGCACTGTACTAGGTACTTCTCTGTACAGTGAGAGAGAAGTCCTCCAGATAATGGACATCGATGTCCCATTGATGTTGGGTACATTCCCCAACCTACTCTCATAGCTATCCCCAGTCCCCCACCTCACCTTGTTTACACACATTTACCTTTCTGCAGGATTTCTAGATGTTCCCATAAGATGTCCCCAACAAAATCTGGGGCCAGCTCAAGAAAGCACTCTTTTCCCAAGGCACAGAGGGCTGCTCCATTCATACAGAACTTCTGAAAGTCCACACCCTTCAGGCTGAACTCATTCACAGCCCACATCACCCAGTCCCGAACATGGGTTTCTGTCCACTGCCGGGGGTCTGAGGGGAAAGATCAAATGAACATTCAGCAAATCAGCTCTGAACTCTTACCTGAGCCTCATTAGTAGCACAGCTGAGGAGGCCATCCTGATCACAGAATTAGGAAACACCAATGCGTATATGAATGCCATAGGAGCTTTCCATAACCTTCCTCCCTACCTTCAACATTGCACCTTCTCTATTTTGTCAGCTAAGAGATCACCACAGTCAGTCAAAAATTAACAGACACATATTTTCTACCCTCCAATGAGATTCCCATAAATCTCCTCTCTCACTGCATTATTCTCAGTTGTTAAACTGACACAGATTTTTAAAGCCCTGAACAAGTAAACCAATGGCTTCTGTAACAGCCATAAAAACAAAGGAAAGTGTATCCTGGAGATTTCACACTGCCTATGATTCAGAATCAACTCAATGGTGGTAGGTTTGATTTCTGGATTTTCCCTCCTCTTACCTATCACACTTAAGACCATTATTATTAATACTTTTATTTTCGCTAATTAGGTTTAGTAACAACCACAGCAATTAGTAATTTTAAGTCATTCAAATAGTATTTAGTAATAATAATCTTACTAGGTGCCTATATTTTATCTGACACTCTGCAAACTATATACAAATCACAGGCCCTGCTTTAAATAGTGCTGCCCCAGACTGAACATAACACTTAAAGAATTTGGGATGAAGGCAGGTTGTGATGTGCACATCACACCTGCCCCAAAAGTTATCCCCTTCAATTTGGTAAAATGCTTTATGAGATACTAAAGAATCTAGTGATCAGAATTCACTTTATTCTTCCTTGTGATTCTCAGAGGGTATTTGGCAGTGCTATCAGCTGAGGTTTATGGTCAAGTAGTATACATGAGAAAATATGTATAGACACATTCATGGAATCTGCCTGAAACTTTGGTCTGACCAGGCTGGAAGTCTCTCATCTAGCAGTAGAACAGGCAATATTATTCTTACTCAATAGAAAACTGTTCTTTTTGTTCTCAGATTGTTCATAAAGTGTTTCTTGGTGGAGGCTTAAGTGTTCTCTAGTCATTTCTTCTTTCTGATTATTCTAGTCCCCTTACATTCCTGAATAAACTCTTTCAGATAAGAACACCAAGTACAAACACATTTCACCGAAGCATATGGAATAGAAAGGAAATGTCAGTACCTTCCAAGAAACATAGGTTGCTGATTCCAAGTAAGTTCAATGATGGCCTAGAGTAAGACACTATTTCCTAAACTTGTTTCTCAAACTTGGAATCACCTGGGGAGCTTGAAAAGATAGATCTGATGCAATCAGATAATGTGATTTGATTGGTCTGGGGTAGGGCCTGGGCTATGAATTTTTTAAAGATCACACAGTGATTCTAATGTGCAGACAAGTTTGGAAACACTCCATAACCAAGATGACACTGACAAACCCAGGAGATGGCGAAGCATTAGCATGTGTGTCTATGATGGTTCTAACAGATGCCTGCACAATCTGTAACTGCAGATTAAAGCATGGTCACTAATGATGACGACCTAACACTATGGGTGAGAAGACGGACCCTCCCTCCAGAGTTGGCCACAGCCTCTCTCTTTCCAAGTACAAAAACATACCTTTTGGAATTCCCAGTCGTTGCTGCTCTTTAGTGAAACCACTGAAAGTAGCTTTCAATGCTTGAGACATCATTTCTTTGCTGCTTGGCGTTAACAGTGGGACATCTGCACATTCCATATCTATAAGAAAAACACAGTAAATAGGTAATTAGGCACCTATAAAATACAATAAGCATGACAGGGCTGAATAAGGCAAGCTGAGAAACAACCATGCTTACCACTTCACCAGAGCAGGTAAAATTTGGAGGGGGGTGGATTTCCACAATGTGCTAGAGCCCTGAAAAAACCCTGACTCTTGTATATGTTGTTGTTGTTATGTGCCGTCAAGTCGGACCCGACTCATAGCGACCCCTCCTTGGATTTCCAAGGCAGTAGCATAGTGCCTAAAGCACTTGACTGCTAACCAGAAGGCTGACAGTTCAAACCCACTAGCCACTCCTCGGAAGGAGTACTACTTCAGTAGATTGCCCCACCTTCCTTCCGAGGAGTGGCTGGTGGGTTTGAACCATCAGCCTTCTGGTTAGCAGTCAAGTGCCTTACGCACTATGCTACCAGAGCTCCTGACTCTTGTCTATAGTGCCCCATATCTCTGCCAAATAAAAGACATTCTTTCTTTCTGTAGAGGTTGGCTAGTTTATGCATAGCCCCTGTTATCTTTTACATTCACTAAGAGTGTCAGTGTCACTGTTGTTGTTGTGGTTGTTATGTGCTGTCAAGTCGGACGCGACTCATAGCGACCTTTCCTTGGGTTTCCGAGGCAGTATCACTACGGAAGTAGATTGCCCAACCTTCCTTCTGAGGAGTAGCTGGTGGGTTTGAACCACCAGCCTTCTGGTTAGCAGTCAAATGCCTTAGGCACTATGCTACCAGAGCTCCTGTTAGCTATGAAAAAAAAAATACATTCACTCAATAAATAATTATTTAGTACTTGCTATATAAGGAATTAGAGAAACCAAGTGAACAAGATGAAAATGGTTCCTGCATCATGAAGCTGGATGTCTTATTCTTACAGGGGATTCAGTCATTAAACAGCTGTCTATACAGCTAAACATTCATATGCCAATAAGGGTTTCAAAGGAGAAGTACAAGATACAATATGAATATATAACAGGAGTTCCAGTAAGTCTGGAGGAATTAAGAGAGGTCTCCCTTAAGAGGAAGAAAGAATACTCTAGGCCAGTAGTTCTCAAAGTAGGACCCCCAGACCAGGTGCATCACGCATTTCCTGGAAATTGTTAGGCCCATTTCAGGCCTTCTGATTCAGAAAATCTTGGGGTAGCACCCAACAACTGTGCGTTAACATAGAATCCAGATGATTCTGATACCCATTAAAGTTAGAAGACCACTATCCTAGACAAAAAGAATAGAATAAATGAAGGTCATAAATTGGGGAGGGGAGGTTATGATAAGCTTTAGTACCAAAAAGTCAGTGTGGCTTTAGCAGCATGATCAAGGACAGCTGCCTCAGGTGAGATTGAAGAGGTGCACAAGAAACACATTAAAGAATGTATAATTCTATCCTAAGTGAAATAAAAAGCTGTTGAAAGTTTTACAGAGGAATGACATGACCCAATTTTGTTTTAAGAAGGTCACCTTAGTCGTTCTGTAAAGAAGGGTTTAGGAGGAGAGTATGAATGGATGTAGGAAGACTAGTTAAAAAGTTACTACATTAGTCCTGGTGAAAGATGATGGTGTCCTGGACTAACAGATGGCAGTGAAGATAACATAAGTGGATTTATTTGAGGTGTGTACAGGAGGTAAAATCTGTAAGACTCGATTGGCTGGATACATAGTTGGTGAAGAGGAGTGAGTTATCAAAATCTGCAGATTTGCAAATATTCCATCATTTGCTATGCCCATGTATGTCCTGGTCTTTGCCCATTTACTCCTGAACTTATATACTGTTCATCTCACAGTACATAAACCTGGTTGCAGATAAACACCTGAATTCACCTTGAGCATAATTTCCCACAGCAGGCTAATATACAAAGAAATAACCTGAAAGAAATCAAATAAATAATTTCTACTGGACTTTCTGTAATCTTTTGGCAGTGATACACTTTATTGCAGTGATTTACAGAAGTCATTTTCCTCACCCTGACTCTTCAGTGCATCAGAAGAAACTGAGTTATAAAATGGCTGAGTTCTAGGAAAAGCTACTACAGAAGTTCCTCAGCGAGCCATCTCTAAACCCTCATGAGTTAAGAATATTCCCAGGACATACCAAATGTGTTATTGGCTGAACAAAATGGAAACATATAAGAGAAAAGATGGCAATTGATGATCTCTGAAAAGAAGAGCAAAGAGATGGCCTCTGAGTGTTAAAATGAAGGGAAGTTAGATTGCAAGAAAGAGGGGTAGGCATTACTATGCTTCCTGCTTGTTTTCGGCAGAGCTGTCAGGAAACTGCTCAGAGTCCAGGTTTGGCTTTGGAAGACCAGGAGAGCTGCTGGATCTGCCCTCCTAGTCCCTGCCACCAATAGGAAATCTAAAATTCTCAGAAATGGTGAGTATAGGTTGCCCTGGGACATGCCCAAAAAACCTAGCAGAAAAATCAACATGCCTCCAGGAAGGTTGACAAAATGATGGAAAATCCCAGATTGTTAGGGAAGAAAAAAAGTCAAGGGGGGGGATGTTGATTGCACAACACGCAGCCTTTCAAACAATGGAGAATCATCAAATGAGTCACTAAGAAACACATCAATGCTCCCCTTTCCTCCTTACGCTACATGCCCAAGAAAGAGCTAAGTAGCAAGTCCAGAAATGTCTCCCCTTATAACAGAAGTCAATTTTACTGTGGCAAAAGGTACTCTTTAGTTAACAGAAGAATATTCAAGTCACTAAACATTTGTTGATTGATTCACACATTTTACCGTGGGCTAGCTGCGTGTGTCAATCAAATGTTTAGTGAATCAAGTTTTTCCATTTTCGAGTCAACTTTCCTCCCTTCCCTTGCATCCAACACAAATTTGTGAACTTGAACTGTGTGGCTTTTGTTTTGTGTTTGCTCCCTTCATTAAATTTATGACTTGATGAAAAGGACTGGTGGCAGAAATTGGCCAGGATAACATATGTGGAAAATACAGTCCAGGCCAGATGGACAAGCAGTAGTTCTGAAGCAAACTGGAGTTGAAGGGTCAGATGGGTTAGGAGGCCCCCAGCATCTCTAAACATGAAAGTTCAGGTGGTTTGACGCAAGGGTAATGTGAAGGCCAAGAATGCAGCAGAGAGCCCTGAAAGATGTTGCCCTGATTCTGTTTCTTTTAACTCCACATACTCTGATGATTTGGACAGTCCTGCTGATCTGACAGCTCTTCATGCGGGCTCTTCTTCCTGTCGGGGATTCAGCATTTCCAGGACCTCACTTCTCTCCAAGGGAAGTAGTTGGATTTATTTTTGCCTGACTGCCTCAGTGCCAACTCCAAACCCTGATCCACTCACCATCAGTTGCACAGGTATGCCTGGCTCTGCCTCTCTGGCTGTCTGACTCTGAAAGTGCTAGATCTCTGATGAAAGTCATCCAGACACTCTTGGGACACTTGAATTAGACTTGATGAATTCAAGAGAAGGCATTTCATGGCCCTTGAACCCAAATAATTCAGATAGGAAAATCAAAGCTTTACTCATGTTTCTAAAGTATAGAATTTTTGGTTAAAATAAAATGAAATTTCCTCTATAAGTAACTGAACAATTGGCCAGGATTGTCTTTTTAAGTGGCATGGGCATGCATTTAAATGATGATGGATAACAACTTTCAAAAGTGCATATTAATATAAAACATTAAACTCTAACCACCATTTGGATAATAACCTGCAAAAGTGGGTATTAATACACATTTTTGCAAGTTATTATCCATCATCATTTAAGTACATGCCCACACCACTTAGGACCAGGCAGCAGTTCATTCTGTTATACACAGGGTCTCTATGAGTTGGAACCAACTCAATGGCACCTAACACCAATAACAAATTGTGTAAAATACTAATGCAAAAATTCCCTCTGTGTTGCTTGCTTATGACTATAGCAGTTCTGATAATTACACTGATCAGTAACAATAATGAAATCATTCTATTGGTGGAGAATCTGAGGTGGCTTAGCCAAAGCACACAATTTTCCTTTAACTTTATCATATTTACCTTATTACAATACTTTTGCTTTAGGTACCAAATATTTCTAATTTCAGAAACAGGGCCTAGAAATTAACATTGCCATAAGAATTAACTAATTGTCTTTTATGGAAAAATACTAAAATTATCCTTGTGGTAATATTTATAATATCTCAAATTCAAATAACACATTTGTGTTAAAATGATGAGAATCTGACCTAAAGAAATATATGCCAACACAGTAGAGACTCTGAATGCAATCACCAGAAGTTAAAAACATAAACGTATGAAACCATATCATCTTTGCTACCCACTAATTATTCCTCAGTACCTAACAACTATTCCTTCAGGACCCTGATGCTAAGTTCATGGGTATAAGAATTACCCTAAATTTTGGAGAGGAAAGCTATACAGATGCCAGTGAACAAATAACTATCCCAAACTCCACCTTACCAAAGATTGCATAGTATCAGAAGTTAGCCAGTGACTTTCCTGGAACCAGCAGAGGCATAGCGACCAAGTAGCATTTTTATGCTCTTTTTTTCATTGAGCCTAATCCTGAACAAAAGCTTATACTACTTCATGGATGTTTCAAATGAATGGTAAAGCAAGATGCAGTGAATTGCTTGATGTGACCCTTCTAGCCATTGTCCTCCATTCTGTGATGTTTTGTAAATCTCATTATCCATGCCTATTTGGGATGGTGTGGTAGTTAAGGTCAGGTATCAACTTGGCTGGGCAGCTGGTAGTAGTCATTCCCTATAATGACTGGCAATCGACTCTGTGGTGGGATTTAGGTTAATTCTGTTGGGGCAACACAGGTGGAATGTATCTTGAGTCCTGCCTTGCTGGAGGGTATAATTCAAATCACCACCCCTTAGCTTCCCTGAGGGTATACCTACGAATCTCCTGGGAAGATTCTCTCTCCTCTTGCTCTGGCTTTGTGTCTTGGATCATCCTCGTCTCACCCCTGGATTTGGGACAGCAGCCATCATCTGATCTGCTGATCGAGGT